ATATACATGCATACATATATATATATATATATATATATGTGTGTGTATAAATATATATATATATGTATGAGTATTTGTGTATGGATGTATGGATGAATATATATATATATATCAAATGGTCTTGCCGAAAATGATGTGCGCGTACCAATACATATGCATGCTAAGATGTATATAAAAGTATCCTCTGGATTGTGAAATAGGGTTTGCTACTGTCATTTATTAGTTTATCATTTCAAGCGGTATGCTCTGGTGTCTTTTTCAAAACACTGTTCTTGATGTCACAGCTGTTACTCGTAGTCCTGATTTTGTCGTATAGCGCACTTCACTGTTCGGATGGTTATGTTACCAATAGGTCTTGTTCACATATGTGACATATGCATTGTCTCGAGTTGTTTTTGCATGCAATCACTTTCAAACGTCCTGGCTGATAAGACCTATTATCGCAGAAATACGACTGGAAACAGCGTGGACACAAGCAGAACTGTGTGTTCTTCCTGAAGTTCAAATCCACACACGCTGATGAGAGGGAATCTGGGGTGAATAATGATGAGGGGTCCAGCGCACCTGGTAAGGTCATCGGGAGGAAGAAAATCGAGCCGAGCGAGAAGAAACAGGGTCAGAGGATATCCCGTAAAAGGGCTACGAATGCGACCCTTGAAGAGAAGGAAAGTGCATCGGGTGACGCATTTGACAGTGTCATAGAATCCAAACGTGTCCAAAACGTGTCAAAGAACACTACGGCACAACCAGCCGTCGTTGATGGTGTGATATCTGACTCAGGGTCGACAAGCGACGTGACCGTCGGCGAGGCGGATACTATAGGGAAAACAAATAGAAAAGCTGAGATGGCATTGAGTGGTAGAAACGCTCGTGTTAGCGTTGTAGGCGAAGTTTCTTCAAACGCAAGTGAAGTTGCTGTGAATGCGGGGACGGCTAGTATTACAAATACGAGTATTAGCACCAGCAAGAGTCCATCCAGTGTACAGGGTGCTGTCATCGCCGCGCAGGAGAGTGGGAGTCTCGGTAGCGCGTCGGGTGTTGTAGAACGGGTTAACAGCGATGCGAAGTTCCTTAGTATCGGTCGGGGTGAAGCCACGAGTGACTCTGAGGCTGTAAAAAGAGATGCAGCTAGTGCTTCGCACCACGGTTCTGGGTCAAAGGGTGGTGTCATGCCTACAGAGTCCAACACTACGTATAAGAATGCCGGCCTGCCAGAACCGCAAACCAACCGTCCCGAAAGCACAGAACAAGTTGTGGCGAACGGAGAGGACAAGCCGTCAGATACAGGTACAGATAAGGCGGCTGGTGCTCAATGTATGTCTGATGTTGAGATGGGTATCGATGGCTATGAACCAAGCGAGTTTGTAGACCCCTTGATGTCTGTGTCGATACCGGATATGGAAACCTTAGCAACGGCAGAGACAATGGCCGCGATGGCGCTGCTAGGGCTGAACGGATTGCGGCATAAGGATTGTGAACCAGATGACGATATGGTGACAGCTGCGAACACGCTTTTTGGGAAAGGACGGAAAGGCTCGGATTCAAGTTCTGAGTTGCAATACAGTGGACCTGGGCATACGCCTACCCCCACACATCTACACATGCATGAAATCACAGAATCGCACTCGCACTCGCACTCGCAAACACATGCGCACGAGAAGCAGGCTCGTGAAGTGGATCCGAACCAATTGGACAATGGATCTAGCTATGCAATGGATGTGAACGAAGATGCTGATTTATACACGAGGGAGGTCGTTGGCGACAGTCAAGCTCACAAAGATGTAACTTCAGACAGACCGGGAGAAGCGCTTGGCGGCTTGAGTGTAGAGGCAGATAAGATTGTACATGCGAGTGAGACTCCGTCTGAGGAAGTGACGGGGTCAGGAACATCTGCCGAGACGAGAGACACAGGATCAAAGACGCACACGGATGAGTCAAATGTAGAAGCGGGCGATCTCAACCCCAACGAGCGAGGTGGTGAGACGAAAGTCCCTGCGCGAAAGAGAGGGAGGCCAAGTAACAAGGAAAAGAGGGCGAACCGTGCTAGAAAGGGTGTCGGTAAGAAACCTGCAGCAGAGCACTTAGTCGACCCGCGCATAGGCGGAGCTGTGGACTTAGACACAGTTGCTGCGATACAGGGCCAGATGGACGGGACCAAGCCCAAACGGAAAGTGGGTAGACCGAAGAAGGTGAAAACTCCGGCTGTAGCGCAGAAGAAAACCAAGGAAGATGGAGTGCATGGGGTATCCGGTGTAGCGGACAGTGGTACCACTGAACTGTCCACAACGGGCCAAACGGTCCCCGAAGGAGAAACTGGCGGCGCGAAGGTGCGTGTAGTTACACGATCGACCATGATGAACGGCATCGCGGTGCAAACCAAACCGGCGAAGCTATCCACTACAGATATGAACTTAGAACCATTAGACACGCCTAATGTGGATATACAGACGGTGTTCAGATCAGCCGCTGCGCCCCCCCCAAGACGTCAAGCTACTGTGAAGAGTGGCAAAGCAACTACGGAGAGCGGTACGAAGAAGAAGGGACCGCAAACGTCACCGAAAGGGAAAATATCGAAATTGAAGGGGACCGCCAAAGGGTCTGTGCTAAATAAGGCAAAGCACGTTTTGGCGGCAAACAGGGCGGCGGATGCGGCCAGACTTGCTGCGTTGATAAAGGTCAAGGAACCTCTTGGTGACGCGAACGCCGCAGCTTGTGAGGCACAGCAGGATCCTGGTAGTGTAGCGATGCCAAATGTAAGCGGGAGTGTGGAGGTAGACGGTAGTGCTGTGGTGGATGGTGAGCATGAAGGTGGGTCATCACTAGCTTCTGGTCCAGTTCAGGGTGTGCTAGGGTCGCACGCACGGACGAATACGGATCCCGCGCGTGATGTGAATGGGCTGGGAGAAGGGGTGCGGAAGGTCAGTAGTGAAGACGCGGAGATAATGGCCATTACACACGCACAGGAGTGTGCAACCAACGAAGCGTGCGAGCCCGTGAGAGCTGCCGTCGTCTCTGGTGCTGGGGTGGATTATAACCACCCCGCGGATGTCGGTGAGAGTACAAAGGAGGGTGTTTCTACCGAGCTCAGCTCCGCAACCATTGACCTTTTCTGTGACGAGGAAATGGGGGATGATAGTGATTCAAATACAGCTGCTGGGCCAAATACAACGGACAGCGTGAATGTGGCGGTACATCCCAAGCCCAGGGCTGTGGTGACGGGCTCGATTGAGACGGGCGAGTCTGCCAGAAGGTCAGGTTCTACCACGGACACAATATCTCGCACTGTTGGGGGTGTGATGGTGGTCACATCGGTAAGCAAGGTGACTAATCCGAGCACCGTGCGTGCCTCGTATATAGCGGCCCACACGCGCCTGGATGATAGCTTTGTACCGTTGAAGAAACGCCGTCTCACCCCTACCTCGCCTAAGGCGCGGGCTGGGATGGGGGTGCCTGTAGCTAGCGTGCGTCCTAGCAACCCCGACAATAACACTACAGCCTCGGACGCCGTCGGAGACAGTACGCGAGAGACTACAGATCCAATTGATGGGAATGGCACAGCGGTCAGTGTGATGGGGTCGAATACGGAGACGGGAGTATCCAGTACGGCTGAATCGCCGGGAACAATAACTGCGTCTAAATTGCCGCACGTACCGGTCTTATCAGCTACAATTCCAACCAAGGAGGGCTTGGGTAGTATGCAACAGGTCAGTGTCTTGGAACGTTCAAATACAGCGCGGCAACCAGCACTTATAGAGAGGCAACCTATTCCGCGGCGCAAATCGCCTCATGAAGTGAAACATACGCACGCTTCAGTAGCGGCTGCTGTGAGTGCCGTCTCGCGTAGCCCGCCAATCGCCACGCGGGCGAAGACAGAGAACGAAAGCGTATCAACGCCATCAACACCCCAAGATGGTGCGGAGATATCTTCGGGCGACACTCAGCCTGGCCGTACCGATGGTGGCACAATGAATGGGGCACACACAGACGGCGGGACGACATCTGCTACAAAGACAGGGACCAAAAAGGGACCAAAGAGAGCCGCGGAACGAGCTACCACGGATGCCACAGAAGCAACTGCAAGTATTGGTACGAATACAGATACCCATGCAAGCACAGGACTTGATGAGGATACCGGTACGAAAGATACAGACATGGCACCTGAAGCTATAGTCAGGCGTAAGCGACGACGGAGGACTATAGTGACGTTGCTGGAGATGGATGCAAACGGTTTCTATGGAAACGGCGTGACTGCCAATACACGCCAGTCTGAGCAAGCAGCTAAAAAGACCTCCGTGGGTGTTAAGGGAGCTAAGCGCAAGCGAGTGGGTAGGCCGCCCTTGTCTGCGGCCGTGGTAGCGGTTGAAGGCGTGCAAGCGAGTAGGGCCGACTCACGAGATAGCACAGCCATGGAGAACGCGCAGAGGCGGAAGTTGTCTCAAGGTCAACAACAACAACAACAAGCACACGGACAACCCACCGACACTGCGCCACCCCAGGGCAAGCGGGGCAGGGGTAGACCTCCTAGTAAACGCGCGCTGTCTGAAGTGGAGGGTGGTGTGTCGATGAAGAAGAGTGGTGTGGCTGTGGGTGGGGATAGCGAGAGAGTGCGAAAGGGAGGCGAAGTACTTGCGCCTATTGGTAACGTACATGAGCAGAGGGTAGGTGCAAAAACCTCAAGAGCCCGAAGGAACAGGCGATCTTGTGACCATTGGACCTAAGCGAGGCAGGGGACGGCCGAAGAAAAAGGCCAAGAGCACGGGCGGCTCTATGGCCAGCGCTATGGCGGCACAGGGCAAGGGAGATGGGGCGCCGGCAACCGCGGAACCTGTGGGGGGGTGTCCAAAACACAGAAACTGGTGCACATACGGATGGTTTGCGGACTACCGTGGTAAGCGGACCCACAGCGGTGCAGGGTGGTCTGCCAGCCGAGCGTTGTGCGGTGGTGGACAATCTTGCAAGTGGGACGGGTGAGAGGGATGAAACCCCTGGGAATAGTGCAAGGAACGGACAGCTTGACAGCATGCACGCCGGCGATGTGTACACTGACAGTGTGCCGCGGCACGAGGGAACAGCTGCGCTCACGGATGCGAACGGTAGTAGTACTGTGGGTGCGAGCACCGTGACCGCAATCGTGCAAGGTCTGGATGAAGACGGTGCCAATAATAGAGGCGGTGGTGTGGGTGTGAGTACAATCCCAGGCGGGGCTGAGGGGGATGGCGTAGATGCTAGCCTGAATGTAAGTGCTATGCCACACGGTAATTCAGACACACATGTGGAAGGAAAAGTAGTCAAGGCCGCCAAACGGATCAATCGGCGTGCGAATCTAAAAAAGCTGCCCGCCACCATGCCGCCCTCATATCCGGAGGACAAAAGCAACAGAAGTGATGGTAAGCCGAGCAGTCGGACGAGCGTAACCAATATCACTACCAATGATGGGAACAGTGCACGTGCACGCGGAGAGGGTCCTGCACAGCGCTCGCTTACCTACTCGCATACGTCAAATGCGGCAGAGGATTCAGACACGGCGTTTGCACAGATGCTCGACGCAGAGATCAATGGGCGGAGGACGAGGCGATCACGTGTGCCTGTGACACACAATGAGAAGACATCAACTGTAGTGGGGGTTGGTGAGAAGAGCCGTAGTGCTGAAGGATCGGCAGCCGGTGAGACAACGGCCGCTGGTGAGGAGACGGCAACCAACGCGGAAGGGTCTACCAATCGGGAGCCGGCGGTTAAACGTACCGCAGCGACGAGAGAGAAGGCTGCGAAGCGTGCGGTGGCCATTCCAAGGCCTGGGAAAGTTGGGAAGAATGTGGCGAGTGCTACGGTTGAAAGCAGTGCGAATAGTGTGATGGCGGCGGACGAATGTGAGAAGCTAGAGAGAGGAATGAGTACTTGGGTGAACACTGGCATGGATACTGAGACAGACGCGGGGATTAGGCAATTGATTGAGACACATACAGGCACGCACGGAGTGCTGCAGGATTCGAAGGATGTGAGAAACAAAGCGAATGATCGCTCAGAACCGATTGAGGTGGACGCTGTAGTACGCATGGATTCGGAGGGGGAGACTGTGCACGATAGGACTGATGCTCTCCAAGTAGATGAGGGCCCTGGCGAAACAAATCATTCACAACCACACACACCTGGGAATATGACTATAGATGGGAAGACAGATTCACACGAATACGCCGGAATGGGCGCTGTGGCTGGGAGAATGGGAGGAAAAACCAACAACGCAGACCCCGATCTACCCCAAAAGGGACAAGTGCTCACGATACCAGGAGACGCAACCGGAAAAGCGAGAAGTCAGAAACACGGGAGGGATACCAATAATCGCAACTACAATCCACACCGACAGCACTGGGCGTATGCAACGTATCTGCCAAAAGCAACCAGTACGGCTTCGGAAGGTGAGCCGTCTTCTGAGAATCGGAGTGGTCGCCATGGCAACGGGGAGCCGGTGGGCGTGCTGAGCAAGAATACACAAACGGATAGAGTCATCGAGACGCCCGATGTCGGAACCATCACTGCTGCGCTCAATGGCACATTGAACAACACCCTCGCACGCACATCGACTACCTCTATACTGGGACTTGTCGCTGTGGATTCGCTACCTACCAGCAAACACACCATTGCGAATGCGACTAATGCCCCGGAGCTTGAATCAGCGCAGTCTAGTCTGAGGGTCTCGCAGCCATTAAGCTCGCCTACACCAGACTACCAGGCCCAGGGCCAATATCACCGCGACCAGTACCAAGCCCAGGTGAAAGCCTGCACGAGTCGAAGCAAGCGAGCCCGCTCCGCTGCCGGTGCGGACGAGCCAGCCCTCGTGCTGCAGAATAGACGGTGGTCGACTCGCGCCAAGAAGCCTGTGGAATACCAGGAACCGCATATATACGATATCGGTGGTGTGTACGCGGCAGGGCAGCCCCGCAGCCACAACCCACCGACAAAGGTTGTACCGGAGGGCACGCTCGAGCTGGAAAAGGAGCTCGAGGGAAGGGCGTTGGTGGCACTCACGGCCAGTGATAGCGAGAGTGACTACGGAGATAACTCCGACGAGGAGGATATATCTGTACCTGAGACGGCGGTGAGACCAGAGGGGTCGCTCGTGCCGTTGGTGGTAGAGAAGCATATGTCGAAACTGAAAGCAGAACCGGAAAGCGGGACGGGGAAGAGTATCACGGGTGCTGGGGGGGGAGGTAAGGGTAAGGGTGCAGCCGGTTCAGGTACGCAGCCACAGAAGAAGAAGAAGCTTTTGCCCAAACAGATCAACTTCATCCTGCCTATACCGCCAGTAACAGGGCACAAGAGTGTGACATATGGGGGCAGGCAGGAAGCATCGACAGCCAATAAATCTGGTCGAAACAACCCCGGCAGGCAGACTAAGACCGAGAAGTTGATCGAAAACACAAACTACAGCGCCGATGTGGCACTGGAAGTGGTGCGGACAATTAACAAGCGAGTTCTAGCACTGGACAATAATCGAGGAGCTGGCCCGAGCTCGGCGATCGCACTTGAAATCGCGGCGCAGGTGGCGAACGAAGATTTGGTCGCTGAGAGAAATGTTGTGAGGCAGAAGAAAGGGAAGGTTGCCCCTCCCCCGGGCGAGAAACCGTATGCGTGCCGTGTGGAAGGTTGTGGGAAAACGTTTAGATATTCACAGAATCTGAACGCCCACAGGGCTGTACACACGGGTGTGTATCCGTACCCGTGCACGTGGGGGAGTTGTGAACACAAGTTTGTCAGCCAACGAGACCTTTCGAGACACACGAGATCGTCACATACCTTCGAGAGGCCGTTTAAGTGCCCTGAGCCCGAGTGTGGCAAGTGCTTCCCACGGGCGGATACTTTAACCATCCACCAGCGTACACATACCGGAGAGAAGCCATATATTTGTTCATGGGGTGGGTGCAACCGTGCCTGCGGTACGCAGAGAGAACTCGTGCGACATGTACGCACTCACACTGGGGAGAAGCCCTTTGAATGTCCGGTGGAGGGGTGCACACGTCGGTTTGCAGACGCCAGTGGTAGAAATCAGCACGAGCGCGCACACAACAAACCCTACAAATGCCCATACGGACAGGAGTGCGACAAGTCCTTCGCCTCCAGGGCCGGTCTGGTACAACATTTGCTTATGCAGCATGGTCTCGTGGTAGGGGTGGTAACCAATGTGAACAATTAATCAGGAATAGCATCTCTGTCTGAGCTCTCGCACAACATTTATACTCGGCACTGAAAGTAGGAATGAAGCGTTCTACTATTCGGTGCGGCAGTATTGTTTCATGCTTCTACACCGCCGAGGTAGTCACGCTGACTTAAACCGTACGAGCGCTGATATACATGCAGACCGGACGGGTTTCTACCTCTAGTAGGAACTATCACGGATGACGATGATGGAGACTTGGGAAGATCCCTACTCTAGAGGAATGAGCAGTAAAAGTGTAAGATCCCTCACGGCTCATATGCCTGGGTAGGTATTTCATAAACAAAAAGAGTTGAGCAGATGCTCGATTTCTCGGCGCGACTTTATATACTGTGTGTCATAGTGTCAGTGCTGTCAGGGTATGCTCGAACTATTTCACAGGCCACGTCTTGTCAGGATATCCTACCCGTCTTGTGGCTTCTTTCCACTTTTTCATGGATGTGTACTCAACTCCGTTCTGAGCTATTTTAAGTGTGTAACTATACCAATTGAAATTTTAATAGTGTGTGACTCTTGCTCTGGGCGCTCCTAGTGCGTAATTATACCGATTGAAGTGTTAATAGTGTGTGACTGGTGTTCTGGGCGCTCCTAGTGCACAACTGTACCAATTGAAGTGTTACATAGTGTGTGACTGGTGTTCTGGGCGCACCTAGTGCGTAACTATACCGATTG